ACTCCTCCGGGAGGACGACAAGCGGGAAGAGGGCGATGGCGACGGAAGGAGGGGGAGAATGACGAGCGGGAGGAGGAGGATGAATCGGTTGAGGAGGGGGAGGAGGAAGAGGGGAAGCTGGAAAGGAGGAGTGTGGGAGGAAGATGGGAAGGGAGGAAAATGGGTGGGAAGAGGACCAGGGGTCGGGGCTACGCAATATATGGCACGTTGTAGGGCCCCACCCTGTTAGGCTTTCAAGCCTAGTTGACCTCTCATGCCTTTGCGAGAGGGGTCTCGGTTGGCTCAACCCCGCCCGCGTACTTATCGAGGGAGCGGGGCATTTCGCCACAAGGACACCTCCAGCTAGTGCTTTGAGATGGGTGGGGATGGGCCATAAAGCGAGAGAGCTTCGACCTTGGGGGATGTGGCTCAGACCTCGCACTAGGGTGGGTATCTCATTGATCTAGGCAAAGCATCAATTCTTGGTTCCATCTTGTGTTCTCAAGCAATTGCTCATTTCAATACTCAAGCAGCTCAGGTTATTTCCGTTTTCTTCTTTTATTTGTCGGTCAAGCGTCCTCCTTGGGGCGTTCATCAATTTCCTATATGCAGTCCAACGGGCTTCGTTGAGGCGGGGGACTCACCCCTCTGTTCATGCAGGCCAGCTCGTGGGCCCAACTCTACTCACATCACCAGGTTGGCCCTAGATCCCTACCTCTTACCCTCGTCATTTTCTTTTGTTTGTCCCGTGAGGAGGTCACACCTTCGTCACTCGGGTTGGCTCCACGGCTTGTCCGCTTTTCGATGTTGGTGCCTTGTCAATGAGATCCCTCCACATTTCACAAAACCTATATCTAGTCGACCTTATTCCCTTGTTCGTCTATACCCCTCTTTCTGGGGGCCCTTCCATACATTCTTTGGGCTATGTCCCTTCCTCATGCATCCATTTACACCCCAGCATTCCCCTTCCAAGCCCCATGACTCAAACAATTGAGACTACATCCATGGCGAGAGTTCGTTCATAACTCGTCTCTCCGGCCAATCTTTCTTTTGCTATTCTGCGTAGTCTTTCTTTTGCTATTTCGCTTAGTTGTGCATCCAATTTCTGCACAAGACATCCTTGATCTATCATTTACCTGCATACTCAGCTCAAACGAGGACAAACACAACCCTCATTAGGGTCAACACATAATCCCTCTCGCATGCCTATTCTTTCCTTGGTTCCATCCCCAACCTTATTCCTTACACCATTCACTCATTCTTTCCCGCAGGCTTCTTATTTTCGTTATCGTGACAGGGTGTTGGTCGAATCAACTGACCTCTCTTTTTTCTTTCTCCACACGTTTTCACAGTCTCAAGTTTTTTCCAATTGGTGGCACAAGGGACTGGCTGCCCTCACGTTACCCTTTTTTTTCCATCAAATGGGATCAAAGTTCTTTCACCGATCGTTCCCTGACAATTTGACAAGTGAGCGGGGACAGGTTAGTCGCAGGCCAAGATGAAGAAGGGAAGGAAGGATGAGAGGTCTAAGATGATCTTAGAAAATGTAGGTACAGAAGAGAATAGGGGCACGCGCGCGCGCGCGCGCGAGAGAGAGAGAGAGAGAGAGAGAGAGAGAGAGAGAGAGAGAGAGAGAGAGAGAGAGAGAGAGAGAGAGAGAGAGAGAGAGCTTCTATGTTCAAATCAAGCCCCCCTGCTTAACCGATCCCTTACCTAAGGGTCCCTAGGCTCCATAAATCTATGCTCTTTAT